AGGTGCATGATCCACTGATGGGCAAGGCTTGGTCAGAGATGACACAACCTAAGACAGGCAAAAATGCATAAGATTAGAGGAAGGAGATAGCCATCTCTCCTGAGGGAGCCGTCTATGAGATGGGTAACCCATGAAATAAAGTCAGTCCAGCCTTAAAATAAAAATAAAAGGGGTAGGTGTGGGGACCTAAAGGCCCTACCTCGCAGAGGTCCGAGAGGAAGTTACTGGGGTGCGGCCCGACTTGTTTTAAAAGTCTGAAGGATACTTCTGCACTGCTGAAGAGTGCATGATCAGTGCATGACCATCCTTAAGATACACCCTCAGGGGAGAGGGGAGGTTTCCAGATGCCTTTATAAGCTCTGTAACACCTGCAATAAATGAGTCCTTGCTTGACTAGGCTCCCCATTGCCCCTGAGTGTTCCTGGTACTGGGGGTGGAGTGGGCTGGCGAATGGCGTACTTACTCATCCCCAATCATCACTGTGCGGGGGTCACTGGCTCAAACCCCCAGAAGTCTCAGAAAGGGAAAATTTCATGATAAGACAAATTCTGCTTTTCCTTTCATATTTCAGGTTGAATGTGCAATTTTAATAAAGAATGAGCAAGGCCTTTTTCAGAGAGCATGATTCTGGGAGAAATTTGAAGGAACAAATTCTCAGAAAAGTCTGGGTCCCATTCCTGGTTGAAATGGATGCTAAGAGTCAGGCTTCTTTTATTCAAACATTGTTGTAATGTAGTATAGTTACTTAATAGAAAGCAGGATATTAAGAGTGCATGGGGGAACTAGAATGGAGTTGGATGAGGTGGATATTATGCAAATACAGTATTCATGTATGAAATTCTCAGGAGAATAAAATTTTAATGTTAAAAGTATGACTTATAGCTGGGCATTGTGGGAGGCACTCGGGATGCAGAGGCAGGTGGATTTCTGTGAGTTCAAGACCAGCCTGGTCCACATAGTGAGTTCCAGGGCAGCTGGTGCTACAGGGAGACCCTGTCTCAAAAAAGCCAAAAAAAAAAAAAAGAGTTATAACCACATATTTGCTAAATGTTAGGAAATCTCTATTTTATAAGAGAAACCCTAATGGGCATAAATTGTTACATTGGTCCCAATACCATAATAGTAGGTGATTTCAACACCACATCCTTGCCTTAAATAGATCATCCTAATGAAAAGTCCAGAAACTCCAGAACTCAACTTCATCACTTTCACTTTATGAACCAGTGCTGCCCTGATATCAAAACAGTCTGAATATGCAATTAAAGAACAATTTCCCTAATGAAAAAGGACTGAAAATTTCCCAATAAAATACTCACAAATCAAATTCACAAACATGGAGGAAGATCATACATAATGAGCAAGTTTGTTTCATCACAGGGATGCAATGCAAGATCGTTTCAGTATATGCACATCCTATATGTCATGGAACACAGGAACAAATTTAAGAACAGAAGTGATACAGTCATCTCAATAGATAAAGAATAGGTCTTTGACAAAGTCCAACATTACTTCAGGATAAAAGGCCTGAAGAAACCTGGTATAGAAAAGAAATACCTAAACTTAATAAAGGACACATCATACACCTGAAGCCAACATTTTACTACATGAAGAAAGACTCAGGGCATTTCCTCTAAGATGAGGAAGGACACAAAGATGTTGACTTTTCCCAATATTACTTAATATAGTGCATAAGTCATGGCCACAGTGATATGACAAAGTAAATAAATGTAATACAAATATTAAATCAAAAAGCCGAATTACCCCAATCTGTGAACAACATGATCTTATCATTGAAAGTCCATGGAGAGTCCACCAAAATCACTCTTAGATATGAACCAAGTAGAAGCACACAAAGTCAACATACAAATATTAGTAGTTGGAGTTCTTGATACTCACCTCTGTCAGAGTTTGTGCTGCATAGTTTTAGTGTCAACTTGACACACCTGGGTTGAGGGAGCCACAATTGGGGAATTTCCTCCATTGGACTGGCCTGTGGCCGTATCTGTGGGGCATCTTCTTGATTGTTGAATGATGGGGGGGCAGCCCACTGTGGGTAGTGCCACCCCTGGGCAGGTGGGCCTGTTTTGCATAAGAAAGCAAGCTGAACAGGGGCCAGGGGAGCAAGCCAGTTAGCAGTGTTCTTCCATGGCCTGTGCTTCAGCTCCTGCCTCCAGGTTCCTGCCCTGAGCTCCTACCTTGGGCTCCCTGATGAACTGTGGCCCAGAAGATATAAGACAAAAAAAACCTCTTTCCTCCCTAAGGTGGTAGTGGTCAGAGTATTTTGTCACAGCGATGGAGAAACAAACTAGGACAGAGGTAGAGCTGATAAAGATTTTTCTCATTCTGTAGGTTGCCTCTTCACTTGAATAATGGTGTCCTTTTCTACGCAGATTTTTTTTTTCATGAGGTCTCACTTTTCAATTGTTGGACTTAATGCTTTCCCTAAGGAGTCCTGTTCAGAAAGCCCTTTCCTCTGCCTAAAAATTCCAGTGTATTTCCTATTTTCTCCTCTATCAAACTCAAGGTATCAGGACTTATATTGAGATCCTGGATCGATTTGGAGTTGAGTTTTTTTGCATGGTAACAAATACTGACTTCAAAACCTCATCTCTGCTGGCTAGCTTGTATAGTGCTAGAAAGTGCTATGCATGCTACCAGAAGAAAAAATTAATCTTCAACCTTAGCCAGCTGTGAATCCTGGCTTGCAAAATAGACCCACTGGTGCAATGGTGGCACGAATATTATGGGAGTAGCCAACCTCTTTCTAATTGGTCTTCAGAAGTTGGAGCCCATACCTGACACTGATATCAGACCTAGGAACTTGTGGCTAGACAGGTCACTGGACAAAGGGGAGAGCCTGATACTATCATTCTGCCAAATAGATAAAATATTAAACTGATTCCTAATGACTTATTGTTATACACACAAAGCAATGCATCTTTCAGATCTTACCAGAGAAGCTTCCTTATGAAGCAGATGGTGGTTAACACAGGAACCCGTAACAGGTCAAAGTGCAAAGAACAAAGTTTCAGAGTGCTTATCCTTGAATAAGACATATGTATCAAACTTATGCCTCCCAAGGCTCAGGAATTATTGCAGAAGAGATAGCAGAAGGCTTGTAAGAGGTGGTGAACAACCACAAGGAAACAGAGCTTTACAGACAGTTGGAAAGTTTCTCGTATGAACTCACAGCAATGGTGACAACATGCACAAGTCATGCAATCCAGATATCCAACTATGGAACTAGTGTCTAAGAAATTAAAATCTACAGATCTGAGAGATTCCTGAATGTCCATGTTTATTGAATCCACATTCATAATAATAGAATATTGCAAGATAGGCATCTATTATATATGTATCCAAGCATGGCACAAACAACACAATTGGGAATACAGGAAGAAATGCTGCTATTTATAGCAGTGCAGAAGGAATGGAAGAACATCATGTTGAGTGAAATAAGCCAGACATAGAAGGAAAAACCACACACGTTCTCATCCAAGCTAATACCAGATTTTTAGAAGCAAAGAGGACAGAATTCGCTGGAAATTTGGAAGGAAAGGGGATGCTAAGGCAGAGAGGGTGAATAAGGTTTAGAAAATACAATTGTCAGAGAGTACTCTGCACACTAAGGTAGTACAGTCTGCCACAAATGACTGGAAATTTCAAAATCACTAAAGGAAACGATTTGCAGATTCACAGAAATTCTAATATTTGAGTATAGTTCAATAAAAATTATACTGATTTTTTTTTGTATATTGTACCATGTATTAAATCCAATTTGTGCCCCATAAATAAGGACAAATATCATGTGTCAGTAAAAGAAAAATGTTTAAATATAAAGCAAAGCTAAAGCAATTTAGGAATTGATTCATGAAGAAAAACATTTTTCCTTCACCTTGATACTTCATCAACCTTAGCTTCAGTAAAGGACTGGAAAGGATACAGGCACTCAGCAGCTGGTATAAAATCTGCCTTTGATGGTCCTCTATTCTCCATTAGGGATACATTTTAAGATCTGTGCTTGATGTTTGAGTCCACTAAACTACACACAGCACACACACATACACACCTGTGCATACACACACTTTTTCCCCATACGTATATGCTTATGGCAATTTTTTTTATATTTTATTTATTATTTTATGTGTATGAGTGTGTTACCTGTATGTATGTGAGTGTACCCATGTCGTACAGTGCCACAGAGGTCAGAAGAGGGCTTCGGATTCCCCGGGAACTGGAGTAAAGGGCAGTTCGCAGCCACCATGTGGGTGCTGGGAATCAAACCTGGGTCCTCTGAAAGAGCAGTTAGTGCTCTTAACCACTGAGTCATCTCTCCACCCCCAAGGCAATGTTTAATGTATCAAATAGATATGTTCAAAAATTAATGTCAGTAGCTAATAATAAAGTAGGACAACAATATAAAAAGCTGCATTAAAATGGCAGGCATCAGTATTCCTACATGTTGGTTCACCATTGGCTCATGGAAAAGTCTCTTGAACTGCAGTCCTATAACTTCAGATCTAGTCACCCTGATGTCCAGACACAGTCATGAGGCAATGGATCTAGTCACCTTGATGTCCAGACACAGTCCAATGCACTGGACAAGGGGGAGACTCACAGCCCAGGCTCAATGCATTGGAATAGATCAAAATGCCTTGTCACCACACAGAATGGCAAGTCACCAAAGCTGGATGAATTCGTGTGAGTTAATTTTTTTTGTGTGTATGTGAATTAAAAAAATTTTAACACCAGATATTTTCATACAGATTTCCGGACCAGGGTTCATTGTGGATACATAAAACCCTGTAACCAAATCAGAGCCAAGAGTAGAATACTGGCTTTGCAACAAAAGAATCACCCACTCTCCTAGAACACCACAACCTTCAGTCATGTCTCCAAGCTGAATTACATGTGTGACCACATAAAAAGTCAGTGCAACAAAAACAGAAAGAAGCTAGACACCGCTTTTAAATTTAACCTTTATTTTTAAAGGCATTAGTTGGTACCGTCATTAAAATCAAGTCACTATAGGAATAACTAATACAAATTCATGCAGAACATTAGTTATAGTGGTAATGCGGTAATGTTTTACTAGAGTAAGTGTGTCACAGAATTCACATTACAATATGACTCTTCAATGACTCAAGTGCTGTATCCTCCACAGCATAGACTGGTCGCTTTGAAAGGGGGGCACTCTGCTATGTATGCTGTCCCAAGTCCAGTCCTTCCCTGTCACCATCAGGTAGCTCATACAATAGGGTAGCTGGCTGCTGAGGAAATTGCACAGTGATTGTTCTGGTCTCTGGCAAGTTTCATGTAGCCCTTAATTCCCCATCTTCTACCCCAGCTGAAAGAAAAGCATGTTTCCCATTTAGTACACAGAGCTTAACAGAGGATTTACAACAATAACTCATTTAAACATTTACCAGGAGCCACCTTAACAGAAAGGATTAGAAAATTTAGACGTTCTACTCCTGAATACATACCAATAGCTGCCTTACATAAGACCAAAAAAAAAAAAAAATCACAGCAGAGAAAGCATAGGTGTCTTTATACCCACAGGTGTAGAGAACTAAGAAATTTCTCAGAATTTAGAAGTGTAATGGCATAAATACAATATTAATACCCTCCAAGGAAACCACTGACAGAAATTTAATGTTGTGACCATACACTATGAGTTGGTTGTTCTGGCTAGAGGGGCAGCTCAGCAGGTAAAACACTTGCTTTGTAAGAATAAGGAAAAAAGTTCAACTCAAAGAACCCACTTAAATGCCAAGTTGGCATCACAGTCCACCTATAATCTGAGTGTGTAGGGACCCGACAAGCCTGGGACAAGCTGGCTAACCAGATTTGATCAAGCAGTGAATGCCAGGATCAGTGAAAGACACTGCACAATATATAAGACTAATAAGGAACCATGAAGACAACAGATGTCGACATTGGGCATCTACATATGTGCACTTTCACACATGCTTACATGTGCCATGCATACTTGCATATGTGACACACACATACATGAGAAATTTGTTTAAAGTTTTTTGTTCAGCTTAAGTGGGACAAATTTTTCTGGAACATCTATCAAAATATTGATTGCAAACAGGAAATCCCTTTGGCATTTCACGTGTAAGTAATTTTGGCAATTTATACCTGTTCTTGACCAGCCAGTATTTATTGCCATTTGATTCTTCTCCTTCAAATCCATAGCCAACCACAAGAACAGAATGACTCACAGAAATATTGCTGCAATTTGACTCAAAATAAATGCCTGAAAAAGAAAAGAGAAGATGGCGGATGTGTCCAAGGCTTTTGACAATGCTACTGTTGTCGCCAACAACAGGGGAGGCCTTTCCTAAGATCACTGAAATGTTACAAATTTCAGTAATATTAAAAATAGGATCTGTTCTGTTTCAATCAGAGAATTCATAGATGTCAGGAAACTAGTAAATGTCCGTGAGATGGGGTGGAGGGGATTTGTGGGAGGGGAGATGGGATGAAATGATATAAAGGGGGCAGGGGAGCTATGGAGTAGGAAGGGTTCATTGGGGTGGGGAATGGGAGGTGGGTGAATGACAGAGGAGGGAGTATTGGGAAAGATAACTAACACTAAAGGCCTTTAGAAAGAGCCATGCAGAAATCTGCCACCATAGAAACTTCTTAAAGCATATACATATATTCTATAAAAAAAATTAAAAGGAATTGGCCTATAACATGGGGACATCTCCCCTATCAGATATCATAGGCTAGCAATGAAAACCCCATAAAAAATGTACTCCCTCTTTTGAAGCTGTTGATCAGGGTCCAATGGATACCTAAACAATACTGGCTATTGCCCCTGCTGCTGATTACCCACCAGAACTTGACCATAATATCATATTGCTGAGAACACTATATACACAGCAGTAGAATAAACAAGGAGAAATCAAGCTGGTACTGACTTCCGGTTCTTTTCTACTGACTAGCTCTCATAGTGGTGGAAGGTGAATTGCATAACTGAAGAGAGGAGTGATCATAGCTCTTGCCCAGCTGTGAGTACTACAAGCCACAACTGTCCTGGCAAGATACGCCCACTTGCGCAATAGTGGGACAAATGTTATAGGAAGAATCAATCGTTTTGCCATTGGATGTGAGGTCTGCTTCACTAGATCCAGCCCATACCTGACATCAGGCTTAGGAACCTGTAGCTACACAGGCTAGACAGGCTAAACAGTAGGGAGAGACTACTAATATCATTCTTCTAAGTAGACATAATATTAAATCAACTCCTAATGACTATTGTTATACTGTTAGATTAATACATCTCTCAACTCTCACTAGAGAAGATTGTTGGTATTTAACACAGACACCCACAACTGGCCAACATACAGAGAATATGAGGCCGCAGAGCATTCATCCCTGAACAGGACACCTATATCAAGCTTTGCCTCCCAGTGCTCAGGGATCATTGCAAAAGAGAGGGTGGAAAGATTATCAGAGCCAGTGGTGGTGATGACAAACAAACAGAGTTTTCCAAATAGTTACTCGTATGAACTCACAGCAGTGGTGACAGCATGCATAAGTTCCACATAAACTCAAGTCAGATAAAATCCCAGCATAGAAGTGGGGAAGTATATGGGAAATTCCAATACAAACTGAGGAACTACTGGCAACCAATAGCTCTTGGGAGGGGAAGAGTCAGTCTTTTTGAAGGGTATTGCTCTGGGTAGGTTAACCAGGCTCCACTGGATGGACCCATATCGAAGGGTACTCAGGGACACAAGTTTGACACAAAAGGACTTAAATATATATATATATATA